CTAAGCTTGTTTTTAATAACACTACCTATAAATTGTCTAAATTTAGTGCTCATCTTGTTAATGTAACAAAAATAAAAAAATAAATAAAATAAATAAAGAGTTTTACATAATAAGTTCCTTTATTAAATTGAAACATGGTCCTTAGTCATCTAATAAACATCATTAATTTTATTATTCTAGTTTTAATTCCCTCATTGGCCCCATATTTTCTTTTAAGACATTGTGAGTGATCTGATTCCTAATTCATAATCAAATTATGCAAGCACAGTTTAGATCTAGTTGGTATTACTTTTATAGCCGCAATAAGTAAATTATTAACGCTGATTCAATTCGAAGAAGTGAACCCGGCCTGAATATCTTAAATACGTTACGAAGGAAACGCAGAGCGATGAATCAAAGTAAAATCGAACTGACATCATAATTGCGCTCAAATTGAGTCGGGATTCATCGACTCTGTCGGCGCCTTTGATTGAAGGCAATCTTCGTACGGCAAAACTGGTGCAATGTTGAATCGTATTTGTGAGTGATTTTGACCTCGGCCTTAACTGGGTATAGGCATACAATATTGCGCGTTGTCTAAAATCTTTTGTCTGTACTGAAAACGTAGATAAAATTATAACATGTGACTTTCCGCTCTTCTTGTAAGGTATTCTCACTGAAAATATAGGTTCTTTTTTAGGAAAAACGCCTTTTAAACTTGAACCAGTGACAAATGTTGGTGTATCCAAAAAATAAACGAACGTTCAAAATTAAGCTAGAAATCATGATATCCTGTCACTGGTTTTTGATGAGTTTCTATACGACGTGTGAATTGCACGGTACGAAGATAACTTAGCTGATGATTCATAACGCATTTGGTCATGCGAGTCCCATAATTATTTCGCTTCCCAACGCCAAAGTAGGCTAATACAAACAGATTTCAAGTCATGCAACCCACTACCTGATCACTGATTGACAGCAGGCAGGTGTCGTCGTTGCAAATGATGCCTTATTCGTTGCGGAATTGGATCTTTTTCGGCTCACCAAATATTGTGTGGCACTAAAATTGATAATTCAATATGATTACTACGAAGAATGAGACAAAAAACTGGAGATGTGTGAGAGGGAATGTGATGGAGAGAGATCGGGTTCGCATGCACGTAACACTGGTAGCGGCGGCCGCCAATTACGGTGATTTCGGTGTTAGCGATTCGGTCTATCCATATTCCAGAAATCGAAGTGTGTGGGGTCTGATTACTCGTTGCCGACGCTTCTCGATGATGGTTGTTATGATTGACGGGCGTGTTGTAGATTTATCGACAAATTCTAGGAATTTACGTTTTTAACCGACCTATTCTAGAATCTCAAATATTGACTACGAACTGACACTTATTTTAGATTCTAATTTGCTTAAGCTAAAGTTACAGCAATCAGCCTGTGCTTGTACTCATATTCATATTCTATATACTCCATACTTTAAAACAATATGTTTTAAAGTATGGAGTTATTTTTAAGAGCAGAGGGCTAAACAATGGTCAGTACTTTTCACCTGCATGCGTTTAATTTATTACATGGTAACAGAATGATAATCAAATTCATTTATCAACACTTATTTAGAGGCGTAAATTGCATACATAATTATAATTGGGGTTTCACTTTTATTTTTGTATCTTGTGTTTTACTTTTGCTTCTATGTACTCCGATGGTGTTCAAAAAAATACATAAATAAGTAAGAATGTAATAGGGTAGCCATTTTCGATTTAGAAGCCTGTTTGAATTTGTCGCTGAAAACTTGACGCTTGTTACGATTGACAAATTGTTATTAGATTTATTTCAAACTAGTTCGCACAACCAATGCTATGCGTTAAATTGCGCGAATAGGACACAATTTACAGGATTTGTGGTAATCTTTCTAGATTTAAATATAATGCATAGCTTGTTATTGGTTACCTCACCCTAACATAAATTTGTGTGACCCTTAATAGTTGTTCCGCAGGGTTCCTATCTTCAAGTTTGTGATGCCCGTACATACAAATAGAGAAAGACAATGTTGGTCAGGACTTGGTGAAATTATTCTACAATTTACGCACTTTGAAAACGAGGTAAGACGTCTCTAACCAATACCTTAACTTGACGACAGAGCCAACTGATTCCTGATCATAATAAAGTTTGTTACCTCACAAACAAGCCGATATCGAGAGGCACGGATTGGCCAAGCGCGAATTCCGAGACGTACGTCATGTCAACGACCCACCTGTCTCCGAGTCCTCGCTCAATAGCATCTCTCGGCATTATTTCCACCAAGCCTCACGGAATCTCGACATCTGAAAGCAGCGTTGAAACAATAAGACACGAACTGCACTTAAGATCACGCCGCGATAAAGCGTTATGGTATATTTTATTAAAATTTATGTCTTATTCCAACTTCTGGGAATTTATTAATCGGCTAATATGAATTCTGTGTGTGTTTTAAGATCCAACAGAACGAATCTGATATTTCTTTCGGTGCGACGGTGGGTCGCAGTGCTCGATGCGCCCGTCGACTCGTGACGTGGCGAAGCGATCGTAGAGCGATTTTTTCCTCGGATTCTTTGGAATTCGAATAAAGTTTAGTTAATCGTACTTCATTTTGACATTAAGAGGTTCGTTAGTGAAGATATATTTCAATAGTAAAAGACAAAACAGATGTAACATTAATCATTTAAGTTCTTAGTCTTAATCCTAAAGGTATTGATGGTTGTTGAGCTGAATGAACTAAGTCGTTTGAGTTAGGGACACAGGCTGATGATAAAATGTTACTGTACCAAAGGAGCGTTTATAAATAATTTCTCTTAACGAAAAACCAACGATGTGCGCCCTGCAGGCCCCATGGGCTCAGTAAGGCCGCCTCCATAAAGGCAGCGTTCGCTCATTTGTCAAGCCGTGTGGATATTTATTTATTACGGACCCTCCGCGCGTAAGAAATACCCGACCGATTCGACAAAGGCCAACTTAAATTCCGCACTTCCTAAACGCGCGAGCTACTTTCCGTCTGTCGACATAAGCCATAGAATCCGGTGAGATCGCGATAATAAGCGGCAAGCGAGGTTTTCGAATTTGTTAATGTCTTTAGCTTGTCACAACCTGCGTGTGCCTTTAGGTCTTTCCTATTCTGTTAAGCGTTAGGTTGAATTTGAAGTATACGGTGTGTATGTCAAGGTTGCAAAATTTAGTTTGTTAAATGGAAAATAAATTTAAAATCTATACGCGGATCGTTCGGACCCGGGCCACTGTTTGTAAGTGTTAATAGATTATATGGTCTCTCTAAAGTGTCTGTGTGCGTGTGTGTGTATGTGTTTTTTTTTCAATGTTTTATGGCTTTACCATTTTTTTAAATTGATCATTAGTCTCTGTTATTAATGTCACTATTTGTTTGTTCAACGTGTTTTTGGTGTTTCGTTTATGTTTTTTTCTCTAATTCCATTTTTGAATTATCAAAAATTAAGGTTGTGGTTCGTGTGTGTGATGCTTTCCTGTTAAATTTTTTAGTACATCATCAATGATTGGAAGTGTTTATTTAGTTACCGGAAAGTATATATTTTTAAAGCTTATTGGTAGTACTTATAGAATTACTATATTAACTTATAGAAAATCTACTAAAATTCTTCGTGTTTCTACTCTAGCTCCATATCTATAAATGCGTAATTTTCATTTAGCAAGGGCCGGATGAAAAATTGTATTAATATTTTTAAAGATATTATTTTAAGATTTAAAAGCAACAGCAATGTCGCGACTCATTGAAGATGATTGAAGTTTTCGTGGATGGTTCTCCATCAATACCTCAAAATGACCCAGTTTTTTAGATTCTCAGGACGGAAAATCAACGTACTGACTTTGTGTCTAAATTCGGTGAACATCCTTACCTAACCTAGACTGCTCCATCCTTGAGATGATGCTAATACACCACTATCATCACATTGGCCGAAACAGATGTTGCTGGCCCATCAGTAACGTAGGACATCACATTGCCCGAAACGCGTCTTGGCCGCGACTAAGACTCGGAGCACCAGACATGGAGGCACATATCAATTTATAGGCCGAGATTGGACCGCGGCGCGCGTTATTATTTACCCCGTAGAGCTCCTTATTCTTAGAACGGCACCCACGCCTTTGAGCATGGACAGGGAAAGGTTACATATTAATGTTCTGAGAGCGCTAAAGAGCTGGAAGTGGCAGGAACTGATACAATTTTCACGTGGGAGAATAGGACTTATTATTAATATGCTGGATGAGTCCTGCCCTTGGTTCACTTATTGAAGGAGCTTAAGTTAGCTGACAGTGGATCTTTTGTTATTAAGACCCTCGTATGGACAGATGGCTGTACACGTCTACAGGGTCGCACATTAACAGTTTTTTTTTTCTAATTTTTACTAGCTGTTAGTGGAAATTGAACCCAGTGGTAGATACTGAATACAAATGATTCATGATTAATTTATTTTTTTTGTTCTAGTCTCTGCGCTCATATTATTTTATTGTATTTTTTTGCGAAGTGAAGATATCAGTCGCCTAACAATTCGAAAATTTGCCTGCAGAAAAGTCACATAATTGGATTATAATACTTGCTGAATTTCACAATAAAACAGTATTAAGTCTGGCAAAGAAACGAATTTAGGTGTTGACAGTAAAGTGTTTGATATCTCCGATTGGGGGCGAGAGGGTAGACGGTAAAGTAATAAACTTTAAGGCCTATTCCATCAGCCTTAGATCTTCGCGCCAACCCTGTGGTCGCGTGGTGTGGTCACCGCTCGCTATTTATCCTTTGTCTATCCTTTATTATGCGCTATTATATCGCGGGCCTTTTGTGCCGGCTCGTGAATTGATCATTACCCGCTGTAAATGCCTTTAATGTCTCAAACAGTGCAGCCGTGTTCGAGGAGGAGCCGAGATGACATCTGACTAGATACTCTCTCAATGAAAAAGCACTCATGTACAACGTGCAACACGTGTTGCAGAACTGACGGGGGTGTGTATTTTTTACAAGAATGGTTGCAATTATGGTAGAGGAGGGAAGAGAACGAGGTGGGTCATCTGATGACGAGATAATATCGCTGCCATTGACTCCGACAGGACCTGTGGGTCGGGATATGTTTACCTCTAAGGAGGGCTTTTACAAATTTTCTTTATAAAAATAGTTTTATCAATTCTTCAATATAGCCCAAAGTCTGGGGTGCCTTTGAATTCGCTTTCTCGCCCGTCTCGATTTCAAATCCCGATACTGATTCGATTATTTTATATCGGAATTTTAAACTGTTTAAACAAATATATATATATATATATATATATATGTTATCCTTTAAACGAGCAATTCTTGTATATTCTATGTATATATATATATATATATATATATATATAATCGGAATCTCGGAAACGGCTCCAGCGATTTTCATGAAATTTAGTATGTGCATAGATTCAGGGGCGAAAAATCGATCTAGCTAGGTTTCATTTTTAGAAAATGTCCCTTTATCCCTGTTTTCGTATATGACTCGAATATAATTCGAATATGACGGTAAATTTCGCCGCAAGAGAAAAAGTCAAAATAGCTCGGTCGGTAATCGGACGGCCCCAAAACAGACGGCCGTGGTTTCGCGTCACGATTATTTACATATTTATTTTTTTACTTTTTTTTCGATTCCAGATCATTGCTTTCTTTATTTTTAATTTTTTGTCGATTTGTTATTTTGTTATTTTTTTCCTTTTTTTTTAAAGTTCTTTCTATTGTGAAAAACATAAAGTTCATATTTTCTTATTATTACGTCGGTAACATCAAAAAATATTATGCATATTTCATTACTCAGTAATTTGTATCTAAATGTAATTTCCAAAATACACGATTTACCAAAAAAAAAAAAAAAAACCGAGCAAAGCTCGGTCCTCCGGGTACTATATATATATATATATATATATATATATATATATATATAGCTTGTGTATCCATACGTCTAACCATATATCAATTGGTATTATGGTTCAAAACGTGTTCAAATTATTATCTAATGAATACGTTTTGTACGAAGCATTTATGACTCATTAGTAGTACCTGTGTAGTACTAGTAGGTACCTGCCTCCTGCGCAAGAGGGTGTGGTGGGTTCGATCCCCAAAAAAAGGAAAAATATTGTGTGATGAACATCATGTTTTTCTAGTGTCTGGGTGTTATATATGTACAATATGTATTTATTTATAAAAGAAAATTATGTAGAAGTATGTTTATCAGTTATCTAGTATCCATAGTGCAAGCGTTGCTTAGTTTGAGACTACAGAACGTTATGTAAAAATGTGTCCTAAATTATTTATTATGATTATTTATTAACTTACATTGCAGTAAATGGCGTTCTTAACACCACCTGCTTTTAAGATCGAGAATCTTTCGAAATAGAATGCATTTTTGATGATTCGATCCAATGTACGGGGAATCTAAGTTAAGCTTTGTGGTTTTATGTCGATCGGGGGGGTAAATCATCCGATCTCAGAACCGAAGCGACCTGCATCAGGTCCACAGCGTGGCACGTGAGGGTCGTGTTGGGCCCTCTGTACTATCGCACGGCATCGGCTGCGGACAGAGTACGTTCGCTTCTCGGAAGGTGACCTTTATAGGGAAATTGAGACTTTGAGAGATTGTCCGGTAATTCGGACGAGTAAGGCGTTTTATGTGATTACGTAGACATGTATCATTTTGTATGTTATTTCTCTCAAAGGTGTTTTGCTCTCCGAACGCCATTACTTCCATATTTCTTCAAATAGAAAACTTATGATAAAATAGATGGTATTGACAGATAGATTTAAATTAATGCTTTCAATTAAAAAATGGAACCCTATTACTAAGACTCAGCTGTCTGTCTGTCTGTTTGTCTGTCTGTCCGTCTGTATGTCTGTCTGTCTATCCGTCTGTCACCAGGTCATATCTCATGAACCGTGATAGTTAGACAGTTGAAATTTTCACAGATGATGTATTTCTGTTGCCGCTATAACAACCAATACTGAAAACAGAATAAAAAAATGTTTAAGTCGGTTTCCCATAAAACAGACATTATTTTTTTATAGATAATGGTACGGAACCTTTCGTGCACGCGTTTGACTCGCACTTGACCGGTTTTTTATGTGAGAAATTGGCCCTTGGCCGTTCCCCTGTTGTTAAGTAATAACCGCCATCAATAGACATTCGCAACACCTGTAGGATTGTAGATGCGTTGGCATCTATAAATAAAGTGGGCTCCGGCTACCCCACTCACAAGACGAAACAGAAGTATAATACTCTCACTTCACACCGGTCTACTGCGAGGTCGTAGTACTTAACCGGACGGACCCGCCCATTCGTGCAACATCGAAGACTTGCGCAGCCCTACCACAGTGAAAGCTCTTAGCATGTGTTAAATTTTTCAAATAATTCCGATGTTTGAACGTCGATGCAATTTAGATCGAGTAATTCCGTAACTCTTAGAAATACACTATGCTTGCACGAAAGACATTCGTAAGACTTTGGAGACCTGGAAGATACGAAAGAACCAGGAGATAGAAGATATGGTGTCTGAGCCCAACATTATGGGCGAGACTAAAACCGCGAGACTCCGCTGGCTTGGGCAGCTGGAACGAATGATGAAACAGGGCAGTGAAGAGAGCCTATGGTGGACGACCTGGAGGCCGACGGCCGGTTGGGCGGCCAAGACACCGCTGGAAGGATGAGGCGGTGAAGAACAGAAAACTGGGAAGTGATCGCACAAGATAGGGCGCGATTACGCCAACTCGTATGAGAGACCAAGTTCCATTCGGGTCGCTGAGCTAGCGGAGTAAGTATGCATTTTTTTATGTGGGAAATTGGCAAACGAACTGGCGGTTCACCTGATGTTAAGTGATAACCGCAACCCATTTGCAACACTCGTAGACATTATTTAAAGGTGGCATTTGCACCACCTTTAAATTAGGTGGGCCCCGGCTAAGTGTAATACTTCTACTTTACGCCGGTCTTCTGTGAGGTCGTGGTACTTACCCAGACGGACCTGCCCATTTGCATGGCCCTACCATAACTGTGGTAGGGCCATGCAACACCATTGCATGGCCCGACCACAGTTAAAATGCATACACGTGATTAGTAGTACAATGAAAATTAGCATAGCCAGTTTTAAAGATTGGAATTGAAAACATTTTGGCGGGATTTGCCGAAGGTCATATATACCTGGGCGCCTGTCCAATCTCTTGTACATTTTGTTTCCTCACCCGTTGTCACTCCAAATAGGTGACGTCTTTTTCAAAGCCAGTCCAAATATATTCGTTCGCCGCGTGTACGTTCGGAATTTAATTTTTACGATCGCATCTTTCCGATCGGCCGCACATCGCTACCGGACCTAAGTCGAATCGAGAACATGTCATTTACCAACGTTCAGTTGCAGCTGTGTAAACCAGCGCCGACTCCGATTAAACCTTATTCCCTCCGAACAAAGCCTAATGAATGATACGCATTTTAGAAATTAATTTTGTCGATATGTCATTACAAATGAAACCGTTTCGATCGCGATACAGAAACGCAAACGAATTTATGTCTTATTCCCCAGCAATAAAAGTCCAGGGACGTTGGAACGTTGAATAATTTTTTATTCTCGATGGCGTTTTCGATTATATCATTCGATTTTCACACGAACGCTCAGGTTCGCTCGTCCGTGATTGGGACGCGTCAATCGAATTGGAATTTGAAATTCAAACGCGTCGATTCAACGCCCGCTGTTTTTTTTTATCTTCTCGGCTGCCAGATACGATATGGGTTCTAAAACAAACAGACTTTTTGGTTGTCCTTACCAAAGAGCTGTACGGAATGGCGAAATGTTACCTCTTAAGTAGTGATAAATACAAACCTAAACAGAAATGCTGAACTAATAACATGTTTAAATTTTTTTATAATGCTAATCTCTGCACTTAAGATTGAACGTTAAATTTGTAGAAAAAGTACGAAAAGATTGTCGCCGCTGTGAGATTCTTGCTGAGATTCGCATTATAAAAAATTTAAATTTCTAAGAAGCAATGGTGACATCTCTCATTCGAATTAGCGTTGTAAAACGATATTCGAAATTGTTTGTACGCTGGAAAGGATATAACAATAGATGCGCCAAGCATTGCTTCAAATGCTAAAATAACAATGTAGAAAGAAGGCGTTAAGATTTTCGTCGGTGTGGCAATCAGTCGTTTAGCTTAGTGGCTAGAGCGTCAGGCCACGAATGCCGAAGACGTGGGTTCGATTACCACAGCGGCGACAATCTTTTTGTACTTTTTCTACAAATTTAATAATAATATATTGTTAATATGTTTTGGTAGATTTTTAAGTGATAATATGCGATGTACCAATATATCTTAAAGCATAACTTGACCACTCCAGTGTTGTAAGGACTAAGTTATTTCAACAGTAGCCGCAAGAATTGCCATAGAGCAAATAAGAGTCAGGTAGTCAAGTATTCGTGTCCCAAAGGTACGTTTAAGGGTGAGTTTATAACAATATGTTTCTTTTAAATGTGACATTTAGACTTTTTTGTTGTTTGTATTCTGACGTAAAGTTCTTATGGTAATGGAGCTTACCTTTAAATATATAAATAGAATACAACTTTTAAAGGTTATTCTTGCAGCATATTATGCTAATTGTTGAATTGCATCGTTTCGAGCGTTAAATTTAGTCTTACAATATCTTTTGTCTAATCATAACGGAATACCAATAAGGCTTGGAAATTTTGATTACTTTCGCTTTCGATTTATTTGGTTCATCTGAGAGTGTTAAAATAGTATTAAATAATCCATAGCTATACATACATAGGAATATTTTATTTTTCAAATCATACAATCATATATTATTAAAATTAAGTTGTTTTTCCTTTTATAAAATATAAAACTTTCGTTTTACTTCCCCATAAAACAATAACTGAAAATGAAACGCACAACACTATCACTTGGCAAAGGGTCTGCTCACACTCTCTTCTACGTTTAATAAAATACCTCCTGCCATTCTCTGACCACTGAAGTCTCGCCCTAGTGTTGTCACCCCTTAAACGCGTGTTTTTAACCGCGGCAGGTCGTCGCCCGCACCGCGATTTGACAAGCAAAAAATGGGGACACCCAGCGTTTTAACAGAAGAAGACGTATTCGATGGGTGATTATTATAATTCAATGTTGTCATTTTGCATTATTTTGCACGGCGAGGTCGAGTGCTACAGTGCAGCAAGCATCGAAACGTGTATTTATCATCACTACACGTAGTATAAAACAAAGTCGTCCCGCTGTCTGTCTGACTCTATGTATGCTTAGATCTTTAAACCTACGCATAGGATCTTGATGCGGTTTTTTTACGAGGTAGAATGAATAAAGAGGAAGGTTTATATGTATAATACATTGCCCCCGTTCTAGGCCAGGGCGGGTCGCTAGTAATGAGATAATTCTCGGAATGTGATGGCTTTTGTCTGCCCATCTTGATCACTTTTCCGGGTTTACGCGGAGCCCATTGAATCTGTTTCCAATACAAATTAATATTTTAGAATCACAAACATGGCAATCGTGTTGCAAACAAAAGTTTATGCGAAGGAGTCAATAGGGATAAACTGTATTTTTTTAGATTATTTCCGAAAACGGAATGTTTAAAAGGCGACACATAATTTCAAATGACACAATATGTGTTGTTCTTTCACACCCCGTATTTGTAAATGCGCTATGGGCTTGGCGGCGAAGAGGAACACGGGAAGCTTGACGGTTACGATGTTACGGAGTTTTTCGAAGAAAATATTACGAAATCATATTAATATGATGAGTAGAACATTACGAACGAGCAACGATAAGTGATCATATACTAGTATGGACAGGCACAGCACCCATGAAGTTACGTTACCAATCTTTTAGTGCGTGGGCTGAGTGGGACATAAAACATAAGTACAATAAATTCAAGTCTACGTCGACTGTCCTTGCAGATCAATATATGTCTGACTAACCTGCCCATTCGTGCAACAGAATCTGTTGTGTTATAGTACAACATCCGATAGGAAAATTATATATTCCTATCTATCCCTTACAACACTCAACATCGCTCAGTCGCTAACTGCGACACGGCGTATAAGCGATAAAAAAGTTCGTAACAAGCCGTCATTACGGGCCGCGGGAGCGTCCAATAAAAGTATTATATTGCCAAATGAGCGCACAACGAATGGGAAAAAAAACCGGGGCGACGTTTTGGGGTGAACAGGGGGCCTCCCGCCAAGTTTGATTGGACCGCCGACCGGTCGAAACTTTTGATTGTGTCCTGAAGGATCGGCGAAAACAACGCATAAATAACATCGGAGATCGGGGGGAGTATGCGCAAGTCGGGCAAAGCCGTCGAAACTGGAGTGTAAGACATGGTACGCAATTGAGGTTAGGACGTTAGTAAAATGTGATACTCGGCTGTATTGCTTGACTTGGGGAGTAGGCTGGTGAACGCGTTACGGAGCGTTACGAAAAGTGTGATGTTACGCGAACGGTAATTTCTTGATTATTTCGTAATTTCATTTCGTTGTTGAACAATTTGATAAATTAATATTTTGTTCAATACATTAAATATTCTAAGTTTTAAAGTGAATAAAATTGTAAATTTATACAGGTGGAGCTAAAGTAGTTTTACATCATTCGTATGATCTAAAGCATACTCGTTTTTAGTTGTTACACCTGTTAATAACACGACTGGCGGACAAAAACATGTGGAACATGTAGGTTGATATTTGAATTGCTTTCAGGGCCACAAGAAATCTTTATTAATTTTACTCAAGCGTGTGATTCAATAATAATCTCGAATCAGCTTTCAATTTCACATATGATGAAAGGTAATTTTTTATGTAACAAGATGTCAGCAAGTTCACCTGACATTAAGTGATAACCGCCGCCCATGGACATTTGGTACCCTTAGGGTTGCAGTATAACTCTTCCACTTCACGCCGGTCTTCTGTGAGGTAGAAGTAATGCGTGGCGCTACCGCCGTTTAAATTCTTTCCAATCAAGGATTCATAGCCATAGATACCAGCACACTTCTTATTTTAATAAACATAAAATCGATTTACGCAACGTTTTCATATCGTTAACCATATTTAGTAAAAAAATATCTTTTTAGAAAAACGGACAGACTATTGCTGTGATATTACATTGAAATTGCTGGGAAGAATCTTTTTTTGGTAGCACTTTATAACAAGGAATCTGAGCTTGGGTTTATGTTAAAATTATTATATATTCATACAAGTTTGTCCAACCTTTGGCAGGAATCCATTTCGAGAGTTGTATTAGTTAGTAGCCGTAGAGTAAATTACCTGGACATATTTGAAAGAAGAGAGAAAGAAATAAAATATTTATTTGGTACATAAAAAACAAAATTAAAATTCTGCTAACGTGAACAATGTAAAGGAAAACGTCAAAATGTTTACAAATCATCTTTTATATTGGCTCTCATCAAAATGGCGGACTGAACACTACACGCAGACGAATCATATTAATCTGTAGTCATAAAGCTTCTTTCTGATTTTCTACGAGCCACTAAATTATTCTTTACGTTTCTAAGATCGAGTTCAACGAAGAATATTTCATTAAAAACTTAAACAAACTTGTATCCACATCGTGCTGCGGTCATTGTCGCATTTTAAGTTAATTCGCAGAAGACCAAACTATATCTGGTTTGATCTTGAAGTCTTTGAAAA